GTTGGCTCATTTTCGAACACCCAAACTCGTGACTGGTTTTTTGTTTCGGGTTCGTACGCGTATATCCAGGATCCGTCACCTAATACGATGTTGTATACAGCATTTGAGGATCCTGCGTGGAATCTTTCGAGAGTTCTGACGCACCAAGTAACGCGAGCCGCTTTTTGCTCTTCACAGAGCGAATGCGGTATCCATCGGGAAAACAACTTTTTTACACCTAATTGTTCATGCAAGATTATTTGTATTTGACTCATACCAATGTCTAAAGTTGCTTGAATTTCGCGGTATGTCACATGTCGATCTTGCTCAATCAGCTTACGCACAGCATCAACGTTTTCTTGGGTAACTGCAGTTTTTGGACGACCTTGACGGGGATCATCACTGAGCTTGACACGTCCACGTTGAAATTCAGCAAACCAGCGATAAATTATGGTTTTGGATGGGGCTTCATCACCAAATGCAGAAATCATTCGGTCAACACACTGTTTTTGTGTTAAACCACTTCGAAAGTCATAATGAATCATCGCTCTTGAATTTTCTCGAGTCAATTCCATTTTCTCAACGACTAAAAAAGTTTGACAAAACCTTGCCACAAGACCGAGAATCTTTTTTTAAATAAATAAATGGTATTCGATTTTTAAAACCAAGGTGTTTTCAATTAAAAAGATTTTAATATGACAGGAACAGTGGAAATATTCCATTCCCGATACTTTTAGTTCAGGTACTGGTTTACATTACTTTTAAGACCGGAACAAAACAGTACATGTACGGTACTGCTATTTGGCGAAACAGATTAGGTTTGTTTTTTAAAGAATTGTAATGGGCAAGTAGTGACATTCACCAGTACCGTCAGCAGAGTATAGTAACAGGTGCGCCGAATGCTCGTTCGCCTCCTCTTCTATAAAAAAAAAAATATATAAAACGAGGTCACTGCCTTCATTTGCAGATCATAGCCATACCGGTTGAAATTCTCTCAAGAAAACGGTGGGAAAAAAAGTAGATTTGAAACGCTAAAAAAACTTAAACTCACAAATACAAAAAATATCAGTTATTAGACTTATGACTTATCTTCTATCGATACATAATTCTTTTGTACGTGTGTTTCTCACAAACTCTTCTTAAACGGCTGGACCAATTTTCATGTTTTTTGTGTGTATTTGAGTGGATCTCAGGAATGTTTACTTCACAATTGGACCCGGTAGGTGGCGCTATTCTTGACGTCCAGAAATCACCTGTGAGAGAACCAATAAAGATTTTTAGGAAATTTGAAAAAGGAAACGCAGCCAACGTTGTTGGCATTGTGTATCTAAATGTAAATATAACAAGTTTCCTTTAACACGTTCGCTGCGGCACAAGGCTTATAGGCCTGATACATGAACTTGCAGTCGGTGCGGAGCGAAAATACAGCGTTCTCCCTCTGGTGCGAACGCAGTAACTTAAAGATTTCTCTATAAGTGATAAAGACAAGTATATATTTAAGATCGTCTTTTCAATGGCTATTCATTTAAATAATAATATTTGTATCAGGCCTATCGACCTTATACCGCACTGGAGAGTAGAAATTGACATTCAGTGCGGATACAAGGCCCATAGGCCTTATGGGAAGTACAACGCCTAACTGCCTAATACCGCACTGATTGAAGAGTTAAAATTAATTAGTGTTGTGTTGACAGCTTTTACAAATGCATGTGCGTACGATTCATAAAAAATGCATCGAGTCAATAAACGTTGTCGAAAAATGCTCGAGCTGTCTTTTCAAAATGCTCAAGAAGTGGTGGACCAAAATAACAGTGCCAGCTTACAAGAAAAAAAACAAATTCAAATCCTTCAGGATGTTATTGTTAAGTCAGCTTCTACAAGCAGTGAAACTACAACTTTTCAAGAACCTCGCTGCAGTTCATCTATTGCTTTTCAAGAACCTAGCTTCAGTTCAACTTTACACGATAGCTCAATGCGGGTAAGTCCTCAAGTTAGAAAGACTTATTTAGACTTTACGCCTAAAAGAAAGAAAATACAAAAATCAGAAAACGATGTTTATGTTAGTCCTAGTACTGGCAATACTCTTCATGTACTGGAAAACGCTGAATACGGACTTGCAACTCCTATCCGCAAATATTATAATTTACGAAAAGAAACCCCAGTAACTCCGAACGTATCAAATCTTACAAGCAGGACTAGTTCTATTAGTGACATTTCATGTGCAAAATCCTTATTATGCCCACTATCCAACGAGGAAATCTGTGCAATATATGACACCCAAACGCAGAATAATCAACCAATAAGCTTCGTGCAACGTTAAATAGCAAAGATGCTCAAAGAAAAACCAAAAAAATTAAATCGTATTGTGCTGAGTGCAACAAGGGATATTGCGCTAAATGTTTTTACGAAAATCATCTATAACAGATAACAGTTAATAATAAAATAAAGTTGATCTCGATATTTCTGTACTTATGTTATTTCCCATCACTAAAATTATCCCAATTATACCATTACCTAGGTGCGGTAATGGGTCGATAAGCCTTATGTTTGTTTTTCTGTATATTTTCTAAATAAGTCATCGGAGCAATTTGCGACGCTAGTATAAGATAGGCTTACATTTTCTCAATAACCTAGTTAAAAAAAATTTTCAATATCAAAAGTTTTCGCAGAGTTATTAGAGTTTGAAGTGACCCATATCTTACCAGGTTTATTGACCCATTGACGCACCGGTGAAAAGTTTAGGTATAAGGCCTATAGACCTGGTAACGCACTGGGGGAATAATGTCTCAAATAGTTGCCGCAGCGAACGTGTTAATGTGAAGAAAATTGAACTGAAATATTCTGATATTTTGTTTTTATCTCGGGTCTCGGAGTTGCTATTGCATTCAGCAGTTTTAAATTTATAACTATTTTATTGAAATATATTGACTTATTATTAGATTTGTTAATTTTTTTACGTTACTTTCGCTAAAAATAATATCTATAGTAAAATTATTTTGTGCGTGCAGTTGGGGTCATAAATCATAGCTCGGCGTCAGCCCGGCTAGGGCGGTGAGCATATTGCGCGGGCGCAACGCCATTAACGATAACAACAAATTTAATTTTAGATATAAGTTATTATCTTTATATGTATTTATAATTATTTTTAATATAACTTGTTACATTCCAAACATTTGTACTTGTAGTTTTTTTTTAATACATAGATACCTAATTAAATAATTTATTTTATATCATTATTATTCTTATTTTAATAAATACGTTGTTTTATCTATTTTTTTTTTTCATTTTTATCTATAACCCACATAATGACAAAACTAAATACACTATCGATAACGCTTATCGACAACAATAATGTGCATCACTATGCTCGCCCCTAAGGCGTGAATGGGAGAGAGAGCGAAATACTGCGATGATTTATGACCCAAACTGCACGCACAAAATAATTCTAGTATAGTTGCAAGTACCTTTACAATTATAGCCTATTATAGTCCACTGCCGAACACAGGCTTGCTCCATAGATTAACTTCTATGGCGTATATTTGCATTAGTTGCTACGCTTGGTAGGCGAGTTGGCAACCGCAGTGTTTTATTTTAGTTATTAGTAGGAAGACACTGCTGTTCATCTAGTTTGCTTCCCTCTGTCACCTCTTACAACACCCTCAGGATGATATGGAGTAGTGGTTGTTCTTACAATGCCACTACATGGTACAAGGTAGTTGATGTAAATTATGCGCAAAATACTACGTACTTCATTAGGGGCCGATCATTTATCATCAGATAAGAGATATTCACAGTATTAAATACAACGTAAATTAAAAATCACAGTAATTGCAGCCTATTCCATTTTCTCTTATAGGAAAAATTTGTCGCCTATCTCGCTCGTTTTGTTTCCATATGCCTCCTCTACACTAGAGAAGTAGATCGAAGTTAGACGAGGCGAATAGTGTAGAGGTACATCGATTCGCTTCGCCTCGGGCGAATTCCGATCACTGTCTGTTTTTTGCACCAGTCAAAGGACTTTGCGAAGTACCCCGAAGTTACACGAAGCGTCCCACTACACTACTCAGCTTACGCCAGTTACGAATATTTTTTTATATATAAATATTAAATGTGTAGCTTTCTACATAATTATTTATTTATTTAACGCATTGACGTCGTACTGTTCACACAATTAGGTACCTATAGCAGCTGCCTCTAGAACCTTATTCATGTTAAGGGTGCGGGAGACTCGAGACGACTGAGCTCTTCGCGAAGTAGCACGAATGTGTAGTCACGTTCTTCAGACTGCGATCGAATTCGACGAGCACTTCGTCAAAGTTACTTCGCGAGTAGTGTAGAGGAAGCAATACAGTCTGCAGCAACTCCAAATTAAGTTAACATACTCATGTTCTCCTCATTTAGTGATATAGGTTCCTCTAGTTCACCGTGGGTGACCGAGTTACGTCAAGTAATTATTCCCCATATACAGGATTTTTTTTTATCAAAAATAAATGCCTGTGTACGTGGTAGAATCACTCTGCAGCTATATGACGTTTGTAGCATGAATGGTTCGGCTCGACCGGGGAAAGTCCACGCCTTTACAGAATACCAGAGTAAGATAGCACTTTAACTTTGCCGTTTCATATGGAGAGTGTAGAGAACCGGAGACCCTTTTCACTGGAGGCGAGGCATTCCATCTTAGTCCTCAGAGGTGGCTACTGCAACCGACTTCAAACAAAGAAGACTGCAGGAATCGTTGTAACTATTACACTTGCATTTTGATTCTTAATCGAGGGTAGATATAAATGTGTAAAGACCACAGCATCCACTTACCATCAGATGGGCTGTGTGCTCGTTTGCCACTCTTATACTATCTAAAAATATTCAGCAGTGGATTTTGGTAGAGCGTAATGGTTGAAAGAATGAACGATGGTCGAAATACGGATAGTATACGGGCTGTCGCTACAAGGAGGGAACCTATTCAGGAGACATTGAGTGCACTGAACATATTGACTGATGTAAAAAATAAAACAACAAACTTACCTAAAAAGTTTATTTGTATACATTTCATTTTGTTCTATTATATAGTAGGTTGTAACAAACGTTTATAATAACAAAGGGACTAACTAGTTTCCATTTTGTGACGTCATAGCTGTCAAACTACTTAAAATTGTATGTATGCGCAAAATAGTAAAACTTGTGGCAGTGGCAATATTAGTAAATGAAGTTGTGAAGATATATGAAGATAGTAAAGTGAAGATAGTCATGACATAGTAAGGAATTGTAGTTTTTATTTTTAATTGGGATTTCATGAAGTTTAATATTAATATTAAAGTTAAAAGTGGCATTTTGTGCTTTTGTTTGTATTGTTGAAGTAAATTCATTTTAAGGTTAGTGAAAGCACTTAATTGTTACAGTAAAAGTACTGAGTGAATGTTAGGTGACTGAATTGTGTTGATTTTGTAAGGAAACAGGAAAAATATTTGAGAATATGTGGGTATAATAGAATTTGCTTTGTGTGTTTGTATGTCGTGATGAATAAAATGTCTTATAATATTTGAAGAAATTATAATATAATAAAACTAAATGTACGATTATTGCGTTTAATTATATCTTTTTAATTCCTCACGGAGGTGCCTGAAATGTCTAATAAATTTGGAATGGCTAAGCCATATATGTGCGAACGCCGATAGAAATCGAGAAACGCTTTCCGTTCCTATCGCGTATTTTATCAACGTATGTGTCTTTTTAAAATTTGTTAATAATACATTTAGTAATTATATTCAAGAATTTATGAAATGTTTTATTCATATCCCTTGTACCTGCGAAGAATGACATTTATTTCATCAATTAACTTCAGAGTATGGGGCTACTATTAAAAGTATACGAGTATAGTCCAAATGATAATTTATTGAAGCGTGTTAACACGGTACGTGAAGTTGTAATCGGTTTGGAATGCCTATGTATACGTGTGAGTAGTGTACGTGTGTGCGCGTGCGTGTGTGAGTGAGTGTAAATGATAATTTATTGAAGCGTGTCGACTCAGCACGTGCAGTTGAAAGAATGCGTATTTATATGTACGAGTAGTGTGCGTGTGTGCGTTGTAATCGGTTTAGAATGGGTATGTATAAGTGCGTGCGTGGTGTCAGTACAGCTGTGCTTGCGTCTCGAGCAGCAGCTTGGCAAGCGCGTGGCGCGCGCCCAGGTCCAGCTGCTGCAGCCCGGCGTCACGCGCGCGGCCCAGGCAGGCTGCAGCAGCTGCAGCGCTGTCCGCAGCACAGGGCGCTGCGCGCGGCGCCAGCAGCAGCGCGGGCTCGGGCGCGCGCAGCACGCGCAGCGGCCCGCGCGCCAGCACGGCCGCAGCGTCCGATGGCTCCGCGCTGCGCGTCTTGCGCCACAGCTCCAGAGCTGCCACCACCACGTGCCATCGTTACATTGTGTTTAGGCAAAGTGAAACACACACAACGCATTCAACTCGAGAGAAAAGAGGCGTTTGAGAGAGGGTCTTCCCCTCTTTGCTCTTAATTAATATATAAATAATAATCAATATTACAAACACCTATTGCATTGCATACTCACATGTGCGATGTGTTATGTGACTTGCCAACTTTCTATTGCATAATACTTACAATTCAATAACGTCATTTCAACTAAAATGGGCGTTGTAGCAGCCGGTGCCCTGTTGCAGGCCGCGTGCGGGCGCGTGTGGCAGTATGTGGCAGCGTGTGGCAGCGTGCACGTACCGGCGTCGTAGTCCGCGCGGTAGAAGGCGACGACGTGGCGGTGGCGCGCGTTGAAGCGGCCGGTGCCCTGCTGCGGGCCGCGTGCGGGCGCGTGTGGCAGTATGTGGCAGCGTGTGGCAGCGTGCACGTACCGGCGTCGTAGTCCGCGCGGTAGAAGGCGACGACGTGGCGGTGGCGCGCGTTGAAGCGGCCGGTACCCTGCTGCGGGCCGCGTGCGGGCGCGTGTGGCAGTATGTGGCAGCGTGTGGCAGCGTGCACGTACCGGCGTCGTAGTCCGCGCGGTAGAAGGCGACGACGTGGCGGTGGCGCGCGTTGAAGCGGCCGGTGCCCTGCTGCGGGCCGCGTGCGGGCGCGTGTGGCAGTATGTGGCAGCGTGTGGCAGCGTGCACGTACCGGCGTCGTAGTCCGCACGGTAGAAGGCGACGACGTGGCGGTGGCGCGCGTTGAAGCGGCCGGTGCCCTGCTGCGGGCCGCGTGCGGGCGCGTGTGGCAGTATGTGGCAGCGTGTGGCAGCGTGCACGTACCGGCGTCGTAGTCCGCGCGGTAGAAGGCGACGACGTGGCGGTGGCGCGCGTTGAAGCGGCCGGTGCCCTGCTGCGGGCCGCGTGCGGGCGCGTGTGGCAGTATGTGGCAGCGTGTGGCAGCGTGCACGTACCGGCGTCGTAGTCCGCGCGGTAGAAGGCGACGACGTGGCGGTGGCGCGCGTTGAAGCGGCCGGTGCCCTGCTGCGGGCCGCGTGCGGGCGCGTGTGGCAGTATGTGGCAGCGTGTGGCAGCGTGCACGTACCGGCGTCGTAGTCCGCGCGGTAGAAGGCGACGACGTGGCGGTGGCGCGCGTTGAAGCGGCCGGTGCCCTGCTGCGGGCCGCGTGCGGGCGCGTGTGGCAGTATGTGGCAGCGTGTGGCAGCGTGCACGTACCGGCGTCGTAGTCCGCGCGGTAGAAGGCGACGACGTGGCGGTGGCGCGCGTTGAAGCGGCCGGTGCCCTGCTGCGGGCCGCGTGCGGGCGCGTGTGGCAGTATGTGGCAGCGTGTGGCAGCGTGCACGTACCGGCGTCGTAGCCCGCGCGGTAGAAGGCGACGACGTGGCGGTGGCGCGCGTTGAAGCGGCCGGTGCCCTGCTGCGGGCCGCGTGCGGGCGCGTGTGGCAGTATGTGGCAGCGTGTGGCAGCGTGCACGTACCGGCGTCGTAGTCCACGCGGTAGAAGGCGACGACGTGGCGGTGGCGCGCGTTGAAGCGGCCGGTGCCCTGCTGCGGGCCGCGTGCGGGCGCGTGTGGCAGTATGTGGCAGCGTGTGGCAGCGTGCACGTACCGGCGTCGTAGTCCGCGCGGTAGAAGGCGACGACGTGGCGGTGGCGCGCGTTGAAGCGGCCGGTGCCCTGCTGCGGGCCGCGTGCGGGCGCGTGTGGCAGTATGTGGCAGCGTGTGGCAGCGTGCACGTACCGGCGTCGTAGTCCGCGCGGTAGAAGGCGACGACGTGGCGGTGGCGCGCGTTGAAGCGGCCGGTGCCCTGCTGCGGGCCGCGTGTGGCAGTATGTGGCAGCGTGTGCCAGCGTGCACGTACCGGCGTCGTAGTCCGCGCGGTAGAAGGCGACGACGTGGCGGTGGCGCGCGTTGAAGCGGCCGGTGCCCTGCTGCGGGCCGCGTGCGGGCGCGTGTGGCAGTATGTGGCAGCGTGTGGCAGCGTGCACGTACCGGCGTCGTAGTCCGCGCGGTAGAAGGCGACGACGTGACGGTGGCGCGCGTTGAAGCGGCCGGTGCCCTGCTGCGGGCCGCGTGCGGGCGCGTGTGGCAGTATGTGGCAGCGTGTGGCAGCGTGCACGTACCGGCGTCGTAGTCCGCGCGGTAGAAGGCGACGACGTGGCGGTGGCGCGCGTTGAAGCGGCCGGTACCCTGCTGCGGGCCGCGTGCGGGCGCGTGTGGCAGTATGTGGCAGCGTGTGGCAGCGTACACGTACCGGCGTCGTAGTCCGCGCGGTAGAAGGCGACGACGTGGCGGTGGCGCGCGTTGAAGCGGCCGGTGCCCTGCTGCGGGCCGCGTGCGGGCGCGTGTGGCAGTATGTGGCAGCGTGTGGCAGCGTGCACGTACCGGCGTCGTAGTCCGCGCGGTAGAAGGCGACGACGTGGCGGTGGCGCGCGTTGAAGCGGCCGGTGCCCTGCTGCGGGCCGCGTGCGGGCGCGTGTGGCAGTATGTGGCAGCGTGTGGCAGCGTGCACGTACCGGCGTCGTAGTCCGCGCGGTAGAAGGCGACGACGTGGCGGTGGCGCGCGTTGAAGCGGCCGGTGCCCTGCTGCGGGCGCGCGCCGGCCGCGTCCACGAAGCGCGGGTGCAGGAACTGCGCGTAGCGCGCGAACGCCACCGGCAGGAACCACTGCTCGCCCGCGATCGTGTTCATGCGCACCTGCAGCACCACCACCCGCACGCACACACATTACCAATTAAATAAAATAAAACATAATTTTCAAAAAATTCACTTGTTTTTGTTTAAGTTGTATGTGAACGAAGTAGTGGGTAGAAGCTAGTAAAACAAAAAAAATAATATTTCTCGGGAAAAAAATGAGGTATCGATAGCATTGCGTAAGGTAAGGTTACCCTGTTGAGGAAGTCCTGATTGAAGTCCATGTGCGGTACCGCCAGCAGCACGAGCTGGTCTTGAGACAGCCGCGGCAGTGCCACGCGCAGCGCCAGCCGCTGGGCAACCGCTAGCTCCTCCTCCTCGCTCTCCGCTGTTCCCTCCTCCGCACTCTCCCCCTCCTCCAGCTCGGTCTCCATCAGTTCGAGGTCCGCGCCGCGGTGTTTGGCGGCAAGGTCGCGCACGGCGTCGCGCACCGGCTGGAACACGACGCTCTCGTTTCGCGACGCCACCACCTGGCATAACACACGCGCTACTTTCATTTATCAAAGAACATATTTATTTAATGCTACAACTTACAGAATTAATTCATTTATTTAATCTTTATTGTTAACACCTTAATACATCAGGTAACAAAGTAAAAACAGCGCACGCAGCGCCAGCAGCACGCGCACGCGCGCGCTCTCCGTCACGTGCGTGCACTCACCAGCAGCAGCAGCAGCGCGGCGTTGCGGTCGGCGCGCAGGCAGGCGTCGAGGCGGCGCAGCAGCGCGCGCGCGTCGCGCACGTGGCGCGCACGCAGCGCCAGCAGCACGCGCACGCGCGCGCTCTCCGTCACGTGCGTGCACTCACCAGCAGCAGCAGCAGCGCGGCGTTGCGGTCGGCGCGCAGGCAGGCGTCGAGGCGGCGCAGAAGCGCGCGCGCGTCGCGCACGTGGCGCGCACGCAGCGCCAGCAGCACGCGCACGCGCGCGCTCCCCGTCACGTGCGTGCACTCACCAGCAGCAGCAGCAGCGCGGCGTTGCGGTCGGCGCGCAGGCAGGCGTCGAGGCGGCGCAGCAGCGCGCGCGCGTCGCGCACGTGGCGCGCACGCAGCGCCAGCAGCACGCGCACGCGCGCGCTCTCCGTCACGTGCGTGCACTCACCAGCAGCAGCAGCAGCGCGGCGTTGCGGTCGGCGCGCAGGCAGGCGTCGAGGCGGCGCAGAAGCGCGCGCGCGTCGCGCACGTGGCGCGCACGCAGCGCCAGCAGCACGCGCACGCGCGCGCTCTCCGTCACGTGCGTGCACTCACCAGCAGCAGCAGCAGCGCGGCGTTGCGGTCGGCGCGCAGGCAGGCGTCGAGGCGGCGCAGCAGCGCGCGCGCGTCGCGCACGTGGCGCGCACGCAGCGCCAGCAGCACGCGCACGCGCGCGCTCTCCGTCACGTGCGTGCACTCACCAGCAGCAGCAGCAGCGCGGCGTTGCGGTCGGCGCGCAGGCAGGCGTCGAGGCGGCGCAGCAGCGCGCGCGCGTCGCGCACGTGGCGCGCACGCAGCGCCAGCAGCACGCGCACGCGCGCGCTCTCCGTCACGTGCGTGCACTCACCAGCAGCAGCAGCAGCGCGGCGTTGCGGTCGGCGCGCAGGCAGGCGTCGAGGCGGCGCAGCAGCGCGCGCGCGTCGCGCACGTGGCGCGCACGCAGCGCCAGCAGCACGCGCACGCGCGCGCTCTCCGTCACGTGCGTGCACTCACCAGCAGCAGCAGCAGCGCGGCGTTGCGGTCGGCGCGCAGGCAGGCGTCGAGGCGGCGCAGCAGCGCGCGCGCGTCGCGCACGTGGCGCGCACGCAGCGCCAGCAGCACGCGCACGCGCGCGCTCTCCGTCACGTGCGTGCACTCACCAGCAGCAGCAGCAGCGCGGCGTTGCGGTCGGCGCGCAGGCAGGCGTCGAGGCGGCGCAGCAGCGCGCGCGCGTCGCGCACGTGGCGCGCACGCAGCGCCAGCAGCACGCGCACGCGCGCGCTCTCCGTCACGTGCGTGCACTCACCAGCAGCAGCAGCAGCGCGGCGTTGCGGTCGGCGCGCAGGCAGGCGTCGAGGCGGCGCAGCAGCGCGCGCGCGTCGCGCACGTGGCGCGCACGCAGCGCCAGCAGCACGCGCACGCGCGCGCTCTCCGTCACGTGCGTGCACTCACCAGCAGCAGCAGCAGCGCGGCGTTGCGGTCGGCGCGCAGGCAGGCGTCGAGGCGGCGCAGCAGCGCGCGCGCGTCGCGCACGTGGCGCGCACGCAGCGCCAGCAGCACGCGCACGCGCGCGCTCTCCGTCACGTGCGTGCACTCACCAGCAGCAGCAGCAGCGCGGCGTTGCGGTCGGCGCGCAGGCAGGCGTCGAGGCGGCGCAGCAGCGCGCGCGCGTCGCGCACGTGGCGCGCACGCAGCGCCAGCAGCACGCGCACGCGCGCGCTCTCCGTCACGTGCGTGCACTCACCAGCAGCAGCAGCAGCGCGGCGTTGCGGTCGGCGCGCAGGCAGGCGTCGAGGCGGCGCAGCAGCGCGCGCGCGTCGCGCACGTGGCGCGCACGCAGCGCCAGCAGCACGCGCACGCGCGCGCTCTCCGTCACGTGCGTGCACTCACCAGCAGCAGCAGCAGCGCGGCGTTGCGGTCGGCGCGCAGGCAGGCGTCGAGGCGGCGCAGCAGCGCGCGCGCGTCGCGCACGTGGCGCGCACGCAGCGCCAGCAGCACGCGCACGCGCGCGCTCTCCGTCACGTAGCGCGCCGGCGCTAGGCGCGCGCCGCCCAGCACGCGCGCCACCTCCACCTGCCGCACCGCACCTCCGCCGCTCCCACTACCATCCTGCACACACAAAAACACAACATATCATCATACACAGAGCGACAGCTTCAACCATATATTCATTACATACTCGCATACATAGAGATTGACATTATCAATATTTTATAGATATATTCCTTAGTGACAAAGGTATTTGTTGAAATTCGTAATATTCTTTACTTTTAATTGCTTAGTAGTCGTGACTTGGTTACGCATGGTGTATAAAGCGAAACCTCGTGGCTGGCTCGAGGTGAAGGTCCGGCCCTAGGTAACAATTTCGAATGGGATTGGCTACTTCGGATGTGTGGGAATGCGTTCCCGTCGCCCTTGCCCCCTTAAGGCAATCCATGTAAGCCTCTACGCATGCACATAGCTCGCACCTGCGTGTCGGGCTGCAGGTGCAGCAGCAGGCGGTAGCGCAGCGCGTGCGGCGGCTGCCAGCACCAGGCGCCCTCCAGCAGGCGCACGCGCGAACTTGCCCAGCGCCGCCGCGCCCACGCGCCGCTCTCTTCCAGCACCAGCTGCAACATGCGCACACCCTCACACATTTTCCTTTTGTAATCGATCTCACCGTTTAAGTGTCATGAAGCAAATACAAAGAGGAGATGGCATAAGCAACTGTGCACTGTGATTCTAAGTAGGTCCTGACGTCATCATAGTGGGCGTGGCTTTAGTTAGTACACTGTTAGCATTCGTCCTGTGTGCTTATGTATTGAAAATCGCAAATCGGTGTATTTTCGTAGTATTAAGAAGAAAAGGATGAAGTATTGTGTTTTATATATTATATTATTATATATAATTTTACACCTAATTTATTAAAATAGTTCTAGAAAAATCTCTTTGCGTCGGCTTTCAAATATAATTAAATATATTCGAACTAAAAATATAAAGGTACGTAGAGCTCAGTATTGGTAAAATAATCATACGAAGGTGCTGAAATTTGTTTTTCATTCAGACTTAAAGAAATTTTAATCGCCAAAATATTATTTTTATAAACATTTTGTGAACAGGCCGCTATCTATCGTCAAGGTAGCTAAACTACATTGCAACGTCGATATGGAAAGATTCGAGTAGTTTTGCTATTTATCGGTATAATATGTAGATAGTGTTAAGTGGGCGGAGCTTAACATCCCCTCACCCCGCAAATTGTTACGCGTGGTTACATAGTGAAATCTAATTACAACACCTCTTTGTATTTGCTTCATAGTGTATATAGAAGACGCCCCTAAAATACAACTACTACCAAATACTCACTGGTTAGGTATCCTGCACTCATCTGTAATTATTTCACAAAAATTTATACTCCATTTATTATAGCACTAACAATCCGCGACTTCGTCCGCGTGGATTTTATTACGATTGAATTTCATGGGTTTCTTTTTGTGAGGAGCCTTAGTTCTTTGTATAAAATAAAAGTAGCCTAAGTTACTCTTTATAACATCAGCTATATCAAGCCAGTGAAAGTCCCATCAAAATCTGCCCAGCCATTTCGGATATTAGCCGGAACAGATAGACAGAGACAAGAATTATAAAAATTCTTTTTTTTTTAATTATAAACACCGCATATAATTTCATATGCATTAAGTAAAAAAGCTGTTATTTTGACATTACAAAAAGTCACTTCATTTTTATTTATGTGTTCAAATTAGAAAATAGAGGCTGGTAAAAGCAGGAGGGCAAAACATTTTAACTCAAAGTTTAATTTTTTTTTAAAGAAAATGGAAAATGATTTCATTGGTAACATACAGTGATAACAATGACAACATCTTCATCACGTGTTACAAGTTTTCAACAATCCAATTGAATGAAACCACTAAATATACAGGTTTATTTTGCAATATATGGCCAAATTTGCAGAAAAGGTTCAAAATAAATATAGGCAAATAGTGAAGAAAATTTTATTTTAAACAATCTCAAACATTCTGTTATTTTATATTTTAAATTAAGAATTCGTGGTAATGCATTATTTTAACCATTCACAACCATTCATAAATATCTAACGCCTACTATTTTACACGCACACAAACGCAAAGGTCGCCCTGTACCTTGTCTTCAACGTCACATCGTTGATAAGCAAAAACATTTATTTTATTTTATTTATTATGACGATCCTAAGCCCGTTAAAAGTGTGGAGGGAAAATTTTAATCAGTAAGCGTATCACTAAGAAAGTAAACAGTAGGCAAAAACTTGAGAAACGAAAACGTGAATTAAATTACACACACAGGAGCACGTGTACGCGTAGTTGTTGCCCATAAATCACATTCATTTAAGTACAATTTCAAGTAAAAGTAAAAGCATTATTTTCTCTCGTATTTAAAAAAAATGTTATATCGGTATATAATCTTTATATATAAAAATTACGTGTCACGTTGTTTGTCCGCGATGGACTCCTAAACTACTGAACTGATTTCAATGAAATTTTGCACACTGTGCGCATTTCGGTCCAACTTGAGAGATACGATAGTTTTTATCCCGCTAAATGAGCCTCAAAAATTTTTATTACGAATTTAAGGATTTTTATAGGAAGGGTCGTCGGAAAGGGCAAAACAACGTCTACCTGCCGAGCTAGTTACTTATATATTTGAACTTAATATAAAATTTGGCTACTCTGAAAAATAACCCTGTATACTTATAACAAGAAGGCGTTGGTAAATCTTCTCCGTCTTCAACATATTATTTAGTCGCTACTATCACCAAATGCTAATAATAAGTGTTACCAAAGCTTATTTTAAATATTTCTACCACATTATCAATTATGCTAGTAAAAGCTGCCTCTCTTTTTTTAATTACATTAGCAACCCAAGATTGCCATTTTTCTGGCATATTTTTCAGAGATTAAAGGATAAATTGTTTCGCCTCACCTAATTAGATTTTATTATAGTCGGATGACGATGATGATAGTCGGATTTGTGGCGGCGCTGGCGTCGCGTCACAATCGAAACACATCGAAGTCTAAATCACGCTATCAAAGTTTCTTGGTACTACGCTATATATAGAACAGCTGTGTACTAATACATGGAGCGTTGGTCCTTCACCGGGCTGAATAGCTTACCCGGCGGGATATTTAACCTTTTCCTTTCACAGCCAAGGGGGCGTTCAAGTATTACGTAACGCAATTTGGGGGGGAGGGGGGGTCTTATAAAACGTTACCATGCGTTACAGGGGCGGGAGGGGGTTTTCCAATAACGCGTTACGTAACGTTTTTTTTATTTCAATAAAAACTAGGAAATTAAAATCTCCCAAGTTGGCAACCCCTTTCGTTTACGTTTTACGGGGAATCCCTCGATTGTATGGTACGTCATTTTTATTCTGTCCTCCCAAGTTGGCAACCTTTTTTGTCTATGTTTTACGGGGAATCCCTCGACTGTATTGCGACTGTGTTCTCTTTTAATGCACCTGGAATACAAAGTACTTTTACCAGTGGCGGATTTACCAGCTGGCTGAGTAGGCTGGAGCCTAGGGCGGCAGATTTTAAGGGCAGCTAATTTGGGGCTAAAACTTTTTCATTTTTCACTTGGTCGATAAATTTTCCTACAATTTGCATTTGGTTGTGGCGCGGAAACTAGTGACATAACCGTTCGCTAAGTGTGTTTTGATCGAAATGCCTGCCCTATGTAGTATATATATAATATCTATGGAAGTAGTAGTAGGTATATATAATATCTATGGAAATGCTGATGAATTGACTGAACGAGCGAGGCGCGGCCGCCGCGGGAGCCGCAGCAGGATCATACTGTTGAAGGCGTACGCTGAGTGTGGGCATTGAGTTCGAAACACATAGATGTATTTACTTCAAAATCAAAAGAAAAGCTGCCTCGGTTGAATCCTGGTGCGATTTCTAATACGTACTAATATTTCTCTGGCACAATTTTTTGGAAAATTACCTATTGGAAAAACGGTCTGAAGAGGGTTCTTGCCGTAGTATGATAATGCCGCAACATGTCTGGTGTGTGTACAATGGCTAAAATTCAAAGCCAAGCACCTTTTGCTGTTTTCGTTCCTTGCTCTGTCCTCTCTTAAAATTTAGTGGCAATTTCACAAACGCACATCGTGGCAGAACTTCCGATATCACCCACACCATCTGGATGATTGGCGGTCCACCACTGTGCGATTTAGAAGATGTTTTCTTCCTCGCACAACTTCCTTGTGGAATCGATTACCATCAGCGATTTTTCCAGACCAGAATTAGTGACCTTCAAGAAAAGAGTCTACTCCTTTTTAAAAGGCCTGCAACTGCAATTCCTCTGGTTCCCCTGGTGTTGCAGTTGTTCATGGGCGGTGATAGTCACTTACCATCAGGTGAGCCACATGTTCGTTTGCCCCCTCAACTATAAAAAAAATGCGACTGCTGAACACAGATTTTTTTAGATTTGCACAGAAGCTTGTCGCTTCGTCAGTTCTTTGAGGCGAAGTGTAGGGCGATCCCCCACTAGATGGAGTGACGACCTGGTAGGATATGCAGGTAGTCGATAGATGCAGGTGGCTCGGGATCGTGTTTTATGGCATTCCTTGGGGGAGGCATATGTTCAGCAGTGGATTTATGAAAGGCTGTAATCATGATGATTTGGAGAAACTCAATTTTTAGCACGCTGGAGAGACACTTGCTAAGATCTGGAGGAAAATGAAAATTGACAGCTATGATGTTTCGGCGGAATATTGAAAGCCGGAAGATAGCTTGCAGAATCCAGCAGAACCTAATCTGGTATGTTATAGGGCTCACGTTCGTGAATCGCAATATTTCTTACAAGTGATTAAATGCGCGGATGAATCTTGCTGTTCCCGCTGCAGGAGTGCATTGAAATCTGTCTTTCCAAATACTTTCCTGCTGCCACCCTGCTCAATCCTTCAAACCCCAAGCAAGCTCGTGGTACCTGGTCAGCTGGAAAAAGGATCATGCAAGTTTTCACCACTTCTTGTGAGGTTGTTAGATGATCTGTCGCCTCCTCTAGAAGGGTTTAAGCAGATGCCTTACGATTTATTTTGCCCATCAGTACAATCTGACCTCAAGAACAGAATATGTGCAACATGTGGGATCTATTTGACATCTCACAAGAGTGTGCAAATGCACAGTCGTTACGTGCATGGCAAGACTGCCCAAGACCGTCGTAAAAATAGAGTAAAGCCACAGCGACTGCTGCCAGGAGGGCAAATGAACTTCTCTGCATTGTGCGATGCTGTAAAACATCGTCTGAGTATGCCGATTGGCTTGACGAAGACGAAGTTGATGCAAGTGGTTTAACAATTACGGAATCCGCTCCGTCTGCTCTCCGGATGCCAGTAATGAAAGAGTCTGAGTGGCCGGCAAACCCGTGGACAGAGGAATAGTAACTCCAATTAAATTGATCTTTTTTTACATACCTATGTATTTTAATTATGGCTGTTTTTTTTTTTAAATTTTTAGCTAAGAACACAATTTTATTTTGACTAAAATGTTTTATTTCAGTTAGGTTTCCATTGCATTGCCAAAGGTTAAATTAAATATTTATGTTGTTTTATATAAAAAAAAAGCTAAAACAGGAGAATGCATAAGAAGACCTTGGTGGATTAAGCCAAAAATGTATGTGAGGAAAGAGCCAAGTCAGAAAAACGGCGTAATTAAATGTAAAGTTAGCAGTAAAAGTTAACATATTTAAAACTTAAGCAAATGTTTATTACATTACGTGTGATTATTTATTAAATAACAATATGAATAAATAAAATAAACAATATACGCATCTATTACGATTTTTAAGAGATTTCTTATCTCTTGTTTTATTTATTATTATTACCGCAAACGCGATTAAAACAATAACAATGTTATTTTAGCGACTTTCCGGTACTTTGCACAACATAATTGTGACTTTTAGTTAAAAATGGTCACTTGGGTGTTACGTAACGTTTAGGGAGGGGGAGGGGGGGTCCAGATAAACGTTACGGCGCGTTACATAGGGGGGTGGGAGGGTCAAAAATCTTCAAAAATTGCGTTACGTAATACTTGAACGCCCCCCAAAGATTCAATGCAGGAAATATACGCGTTATGTTGCGGATTGTAGACGACAAAGGCATACTCAAGGATACTATGCACGTGAGTAATTATAGTATCAACTTGTGCTTCCGAGTCCATTTGTAAGAAGGTGGTATAATTTAAATGTCCATGCCATTACAACGGCAATTTCATATTTTAACCCCTATTATTTATTGAATTTTAAGCGATTAATGGAAAATAATTGAGTTGAAGAGAACATATTAAATAGTAACATTATTTATGGGCAGACCAGACTATGTGTAGGCAATGGACAATAGAATAGAATAGAATAGAATGATTTTTATTCAATATGGATTATTACATAATACTTATTGAAAGTCATTATTTTATTTACCACTGGTTCGGAAAATACCTCTGTCCTGGGAAGAACCAGCAAGAAACCCAGCGGGACTTTTTTTTTTAAACATAATTTCACTTAACAATAATTTTGATTATACAATTTTAAATGAATTTTCATAGAACCAGCATGGTGGCGATCACCTTATTCCCAGGGGTTATTTTCACTCATGTATTCCTTGATATTATAATAACCCTTTTTGTACAGTTTTTCTTTAATAAAACTTTTAAACTTGTTTATTGACAAACTTTGAACATGTTCTGGGATTCTGTTGTAAAAGCGTATACATTGCCCCATAAATGAATTACTAATTCTGTGGAGTCTTGTAAGTGGCATTACAAGCTTATGTTTGTTCCTAGTGTTTAAGGTATGAACATCCTTATTCTTATTAAAGCTATTTATGTTTTTATGTACATACATTACATTTTCATAAATATATTGCGATGCCAAAGTTAATATGTTTATTTCTTTAAATTTTTCTCTAAGGGACTCTTTACAATTTAGATTATAAATCGCCCGTACGGCTCTCTTTTGCAAAACAAATATAGCTTCAATATCAGTCGCATTACCCCATAGCAAAATTCCATAAGACATTACGCTATGAAAGTAACTAAAATACACTAACCTAGCTGTCTCAACATCTGTGAGACTTCTAATCTTTCTTACAGCATATGCTGCAGAACTAATAGGTATAGTAGTACAAGAAAATGGGTACTGACGTCGATTGCAGCCTTCGTAGCGCCGGTGAGTGGGGCGGCGGTGCGGTGGTCGTCCGGCATGAGCGCGTGCGTCGCGTTGAACGTGGTCCAGCGCAGGTGATCGAACCTGCACAATACACATACTCGATCAATAGATGTAATGTCCCCCACCACTCCCTAATACATGCTATAGTACAAATTTCGTGAATTGTTATAGAGATGAACATGGGTCTTCAAAAGGAGACAGTTTGTTTTTGTATGGAGAATGGGCCCACCACAAATTTTAGGGAAACTTAATGAAATGCATGTCGATTTATTTATTATAATCTATAGATTACGATAGTAATATTAGATTTACCGTATCTAACGAGAATACTGAGAAATCATCAAATAAAATATGTATCTTGCTATAACCTAAAAACAAACTAAAAGCGATCCTCTATTAGTTTTCACCAGTATTACAAGTTAAAATAGTGCACTGTTCAATAAATAATAGTATAAAACAAAGTTGTAGTTACAATTAATAGGATCAGGCGTTACTTTGCGGAAATCCATTATATAAAAGCTTTTAGAAAAATTTACTTCGCAAATATCCGCGTTAAAAAATAACATGATGTGTCTTACCTAGTATGAAGAGCACCTCCCGCCCTCCCTCAATTGCGTGCACTATCCCCGTCACCACTAATCCCAGCACCGCTACTCCCAACACCACTATACTAGGCACGTATTATCGTCAGTGGTGTGTCTTGCCTAGTGTAGTGGTGTTGGGAGTAGCGGTGCTGGGATTAGTGGTGACGGGGATAGTGCACGCAATTGAGGGAGGGCGGGAGGTGCTCTTCATACTACGTAAGACACATCATTTTATTTTATAACGCGGATATTTGCGAAGTAAAAAATTTTTCTAAAAGCTTTTATAAAGTTGTAGTTACATTCAGCATTTATAGGTACTTTAAGATTGATGGAAAATCCTTTTAGTAGTTCCGGCAAAATAATATAGTGCCTGTATGTGCACAAATGTGGTATGGATACTATTTTTTTACATGTATTTATTGTGAGTATACATCCCAAATACCGTTTAAGTAATATGATTAAAGCCAAGATGAGTCAGGGATAATATGTACGTTTATAATATTACCTACACACTCTATATAGTGTGAAAGATGTTTTGAACTTGTTGTGTAACGATAAAAACACAAATTATAATGCATCTACATTTATTATCATACGTATATATTCATACGTGGTAGAGACATGCTGCTGCTATATTAGTAGTATAGTTGTAGCACAAATGGGTCGGCTCGACCTTGGAAGGGCCACGCTCTCACAGAATACCAGCGTAAAATAGCAGCTTAACACTGCTGTGTTTCGTATGGTGATTGTAGAGAACCGGAGACCCATTATACTGGAAAAGAGGCGTTCCATCTTAGTCCTCACGGGTGACAACGCATCTGCATTTTGATTCGCAAACGAGGATGAATGTAGATGTCTATGGGCCACAGCAACCACTTCCCATCAGGTGGACTGTGTGCTCGTTTGTCACTCTATCTTATAAAAAAAAATATTATAGTAAATCATATTATTAACTGATTAGTTATCATACCTCAAACACCATGAAAGCCAAAATGACTAAGTAATGTCATTTTTATCAGTTATTACACACTGGTAAATAGCCAGAAAGTAAGATGTTTTAAATTGTTTATGGAAGGATAATAAAACACATGTATAATTTAACATCAATGGCGAGTACATCACTCACCTTCGATTTGCCGACGATATAGTCCTTATGGCAGAATCGCTGGAGGACCTAAGCACTATGCTCAATGACCTCAATAGTGCTTCCCAATGGATAGGTCTTAAGATGAACATGGACAAAACAAAGACCATGTTTAATGTCCATGTCACCCCTATGGCGGTAGTTGTTGGGAGCACTAAGCTCGAAGTTGTTGACGAGTATGTTTACCTGGGACAAATAGTCCGACTAGGTAAGTCCAACTTCGACCGAGAGGTCAATCGACGGATTCAACTCGGTTGGGAAGCGTTCGGGAAATTACGGCACATCTTCTCGTCAGGTATACCTCAAAACTTGAAAACGAGACTGTACAACCAGTGCGTGTTGCCAGTGATGACATACGGAACTGAGACGTGGTCCTTCACTGCTGGCCGGATGAGGAAGCTCAAGGTCGCTCAGCGAGCTATGGAGAGGGCTATGCTCGGAGTTTCTCTGCGTGATAAACTCAGAAAGGAGGATATCTGCAGTAGAACCAGAGTGACCGACATAGCCCAACGGATTAGTAAGCTGAAGTGGCAGTGGGCCGGCCATATAGCTCGAAGAACCGACAACCGATGGGGAAGAAAGGTTTTCGAGTGCCAGCCTCGTACCGGCAGGCGAAGTGTTGGGCGTCCCCCTACTAGATGGAGTGACCTGGTAAGATATGCAGGAAGTCGATGGATGCAGGTGGCTCAGGACCGTGCCACAGATTAGTTAATAGTTTACTAAACAGATACATCACTCCCATACAAAAGCGAAAATACCTACGCTATAATAGCCTACACAATCTTTATAATAATATCTACTGTTCGCAGCGAGAGGAAAATGTACCATAAATATGTGCAAAAGAGTCGAAATTGTGTTGACCGCCGTGCGACTCACGTGCAAGCGCGTCATCGCACGAATGCTCTAGGGTTGTACCTATGATGATTATTGTAATAAAACAAATCTTGCGAAATTACCATATTTTTATTTGTCAATAAAATATGTTTGAGTTTTATAAAATGATTTATACCTTTTTTACCTTCAATTTGAATTCTCGGTTATTAAATTTTATCGTTGAAAATGGTTGTCACTCAATTTATAAATTACAGCACTGTTATGCTTTGTTTCGATGTAATCTTATAGTTAAGAAAAAAAAGACAATTTTTCATTTGTTTTTGACTCTGACACCCATCCACTGCACAATAATTACGTGGTTTCGGCATTTCGACGAGTAAGCACGGGAAACGTGTGCGGTGCAAGCGCTCAGGCGGGCGTGCGGCAGCCCAATGTCGGTTGTATCGTGGACGATACGCAAAACGATAGGCATATAACGCAGGGTCTTGAGCGAGTGACGGAGGCCTGACCGTGCTTTGTGGCATTCCTTGGGGGAGGCCTATGTTCAGCAGTGGACTTGTGAAGGGCTATAATGATGATGATGATGATAATTTAATTGTATTTGTATTATATTATCAATCATCATTTCAAAAGATTTTATCTAAAGAACTTGATGATAACATGACCATTTATGATATTGGTAGGAATCAAAAGGACATTTTCAATGATAAGAGATATGATATAAGACTGTTGTCTTCAATATCCATACTCTTTTGTCTCTGCCTACGGGTAACTTTGCAAGCCTTCAGCCTACAAGGCATACAGATAATTGACCTGAAAAAAGTTAATGACTATTGTAAGAGTGCCTATTGTTCACGCCCTTAGTTGCCCCTACAATAGTCGACTGGGCTAGGGCCCATAGTAGCCCCCTCGACGCGCAACAGAGGGCGGAGCCCAAATGGCCTTATGGACAGTTGACCTATAATACTACATTATAGAGATAAGCTAGGTAAATAAATAAGACGTACCTGTTCAGAGCGAAGAAGGATCACAAGGCTCGTTCAGGCGTTAAGTAGGTGCATGTAAGTAGGGTGTGAGAAGTGTATATATGTTTAACCTGAATTAGCCCTTTTTAATCAGCAGCAACCCTGACTCTAGCACCGCCACCCTATGTGGTATCACTCCAGCGGCGTCACTCGGTGTCACTCAAAGTCTAGCGTCCATTAGCACAAATCTATAATCTAATACGAACGCTGGTTCTCGCGGGTCACAAAATTTAGCTGTTTTAACCGACACAGGAAAATATCTCCGAGTTAAATCCAACGGCACAAAGCAACTCGTTAACGCGAATCAATATTGTCAGAATGCACTTAAGCATGCAACCACTATACCACTTAACGTTCAAAACTCAACTAAATCCCGTGAATTATAATCAAAAACGTAACACGCGGTACGACTGGTGAGCGGTGGGTCAAAGTTCACTTCCGTTCACTCAGCCACAAATTATTTCGAGAATCGAACGCGACCTTCTAAGGCAGTCATCACGCGGCCCAAATAGACTCACTGCAATACTATATACAGGGTATTTTTGGAACGCTCTCGAAAATTAAGACAGGCGACAGCACCAAGTATACCTTTGATCATGGGTCACAAATAAATTCGATCCTGATGAAAAAAAAATCATCTTTTAACAACGTTTTATTAGCTTTATTCACGCGCCATCATGTTAGTACAGCTAAATGAAACGATAATTTCATAAAAAATATCATGAAAATACTGAAACATAAAACCAGCAGTGGAATGACTGAATTGTATCACCTGACTAAAGGTCAATGTACTCGCGAACGCAAATTCGCGCGGCCCGCAACTAGCGGGCCATACCACTACATACGCTAATGAAAAAATACTTAAATGAAATGTAACCAAGGTTGGAGTCATGCGTTTTTATTCATCGTGTAGGTATGTTTATTATTCTCATGTATTCAGTTATGTACCTATTCAGATTAGTTCAGTACTAAGTTATTTAAAAAAAATAGTTATGAAACATCTTACCGCTCTAAATCCTCCGTGGTCTTATGAGATGCAGCTCAAATTGTGCTCCATTCATTTCAAGGTAGATTTGGGTGCAGGCGGGGCATCATCGTGTGGTCTTCGACACAGTCCGTACATAGTTTCTCGAAAGCATCCACGATCCTTTGGCGCATTTTGTCAGCACTATCACACTCACGATTAAAAACCCTTTCTTTCACATACCAAAAAGAAGTCTAACGGGGTCAGATCTGGTGAGCGAGGTGGCCAAGCGTGTGGTCCTAGTCTGCCGATCCAGCGATCATCAAATAGCTCATTGAGGCGCTCACGGACGAACCTCACGACATGGTATCGCTGTCTGTTCAGTCGCTGTGGCAGAAACACTGGTCCCAGTATGCGATCCTTAAATAAACCTGCCCATACGTTAACCGACCATCGGATTTGGTGCCCGGTTTGTCGAACAGCGTGCGGGTTAACCTCTGAATACACGTGTGTATTTCTTCGGTTCCACA